TTTTTGTTTTTTTGTTTTTTTTTGTTTTGTTTTTAAACGGAGAATGTGGATTTCTCTTTCTTCAGTCCATAATTGAGAAAAGTATAAGGGAATGGAACTGGCAGAAGTCAGATTCTGAGTTCAGAAAATTGGAGGGCATAAAGTGTTTCCAGCTAACTTCTAACTTGTCTTTTGGTTATGAATGGGGAGAAAAGGGAATGAATAAAAATTAAGTTATTTTTAAAATCAACATGGCCTTTACAGAACCTTATGAGATCATGCACAGAATGACATACGTATCTGGCGGGCAAGATCAAACATGAACAAAGCTCTAGCCCAGCGGAATGGGTATCTCTTCATATCATTGCTCAAAACCAAAGAAAAGACACGAACAATGAAGCAAACTTTGCTTCTGCCAGAACTATACACAAAAACCTTTCTATTCATGCCCTCTTGGCTTTGGAACGCAGATACATATGCTGCTCCGAAAGTAATTCCTTCTATTTATTTTCAAGGAAACTACAACAGATATGAAGAGCACAATCACGCTATCCTATAAAGAAAATTCTCAGCTACAAAATACTATTTTTCAACACAGTCGCCACCACGAGCAATGCGTTTTTGCCACTGATGAACAAGAACCTGCACGCTACGCTCATAAAAATCTGCACCAGTGGAGACAGCCCGCTGTTGCTGTTGTCACTGCTGAAATGCACCACCCACTGCCTCACTGTGCTCACATCCACTGTGTGGTCTCCATCAATGTTCAGCAAGAGGCGATGAATGTCAGTGGGTGCCATTTTTTTTTTCCCCCACGTGGAGTGGAAATGGTGACACACCTTTACTTCATGTGCTCTTCCATGTCAGATCCCATTCTGCCAGACCATCCCTTTGCTGCCATCTGTCCCACGGCAATAACATGTAATGGAACATTGGTGGGAAGCTTCAGCCTGTACTGCCACAGCACCTCTGACACATCCGCCTCTGACACTGTGGGCGAACACAATAAAATAGCAGGCACTGCACAATAACAGCCCTCACACAAACTTTCTGGTTCAGACTTTACAAAAAATTTTGGATGCAGTTCATAGACTGAAGTTTCACTCAGGTTTGACACAGGTGGAAAAGCAGGCAGCCTTTCCATCCCACAAGGAAACAAAACCAGTGCCAATGGCCACATCTTGTTTTCATATGTTAAAGGAGGGTAAGTGAAGGAAATCTCTAGTTTGCTGTCAGAGATTTGTGAATGGCAGAACCAACAGTCCGAGGCTTTACATGGACATGAAATATCATAAAAGGAAACTGAAAAGCAATTTCTAAGCTCTGAATCAGACTCTCAAAGGTATCTCAAAACTCTGAATCATAACTAAACCAGTTTTAGATATCAGATCAATAATATTCGGAGAGAAGTGCAAATTTTCTAATAGGGAGAACTACCAAGATTTCAGACTCTCTGAAGCCTAGACTTAGCATTATCATATCACCATCAGTCACTTCACTCAGCCTTACCACTTCTATATCACTATGTACACTACGAAGCTAAGAGGGCCAGAAAATGGTTTAGTATATCCAATCAAAGGATAACCTCTGTATGTTCTCATGTCTTTAAGGGATGAAGTCAACTTTTGTAAGAACCCCACTTACTTTTGACACAGCAAATTTCCTTACAACTGTCTTCCACCTCCCCTCCAACCCTAGAAAGAAGTAACAGTAAATACAGAAGGATACAGAACTTCAATCTTACTGTAGAGTTACCTGGTATGTTTGCATATGCTACACAGATATTGTGCTAATTATTTGCTGAGAAGCAATACAAAGTAGTCTTCACTAGTATAGAAAGAAACAAGAAAAGACTTTTTCTTCTCCCCAGATGGCTACAACCTCTATTTTATGGGTTTCTGTTTGTTTGTTGAACAAGATAAACACGCAGTAGCTGCAAGGGGTCACAGGACTTTGAGAAGAATATGAAGGCTCAAGAACTTCTGATAAGCAGAAATAGATTGAGAAAGCATACACAGTAGTACAAAGGCTTTAAGCTGCTATCAGAAAACATGCAAGTCTGTCAAACATCAGAAACTCCCCACAGGATTAAAGACAGGCCAGTGCTTCCAAAGGGTCCTTGGGAATTACCAAACTGTTCTTGCTCTCTCCCTGTATACACACACGACTCCCCCCATAGATCCCTGCACTGTAATCTGACAATCTAAGATACACTTTATAACCAGCATTCTAAAGCAACTGAAAGCATGTAGGCCAGGACAAGTTATCTTTGAATTTGCTCTGCTTTGAGATGAAACAAACAGATAAAACCCATGCTTTTCTCCCTGAGTTTTCACACTTAAAATGCCCTTATGTCTATAAAAAAAAAAAAAAAAAAAAAGCCCTAGAAAGCAATCAGCAAAAAGGGTTCAACAAACAAGTAGATCTCATCACCTACTATAATCTCACAAACTTCAATGCCCAACCAATACCAACAGTCAGCTCTGTGCTGCTGAAGCCTTAACTTGCAGTGAATATTCTAGCTCCATTTTGCTGGAGGAAGCAGAGTTCACGACGGCTACAGTCCAATCTAAGCATTTCTCAGCTAATGCTTCAAAACAAAACTTTTATTCCTCCTCTAGAAAGTAATTTATTATTTTCCTGCTGTTGTATTCCCACGATTTTAGTAAAAGAAAACCCTACACTAACCACAAATTAAATACTTCAAAAAAAAATTTTCAGCAGCAAGTATGTGCTTCATGATTTTGAACAACCACCTTATCTAAACCGCAAATTTGGACAGAAAGCCACGCTTTTGTACAAAGTCCTCTCTAACGGATCAAAGAAGACGGCGGCAATATTTCCCTTCTCCCTAGCGAAACACATCGGTACCCCCAGCTCCTCGATTTGTACACCTGCGAGCAACCGCCGCATTTCCGCGGCCGCCGATCCCGCAGGCCGCCGGCTCACGCACAGCACCGGCCCGCGGCACCCGCTGCGCTCCACTCGCCCACGCGGCCGGGCCGGGGAGCGCCGCGCTCCTTCGGGATCTCGGGGGCACGGGCGCGCATCAACTCTCGCACAAACCCCGCTCGTCGTTCTCCGCCCCGAAGGAAAACGCCGTCCCAGCGGCCGCCGGTCCGATCGCTCCCGTTCTGGCTCGGCTTCCCGGAGGCCGGCTGCGGTTCCGCTCCCGGCCGGGCGGTTTCCCTTCGGGCCCGCAGGGCGGCCAGGGTGAGGGGGCGGCCGGGGCGCCCGCAGTAACCGCCCGGGGCGTTCTCGAAGGGCCCAGGGTTTCGCCCTGCCACGGTGGAAGCCGGAGCGAAGACCTGCGCCAGCCCGCCCCGAAGAAGTGCGGATCGCAATAACTAAAGGTGACTCAACCTCAGCCTTCTGAGCGCCTTATCGCTCGCCCGTCGGCAAGCGCAGACGGCGCCTCACACCCCGGCCGCGGACCTCAGTTTCCGGGCTCCGCGACCGCCGCCCTCACCCCAGCGCACGGCCCGACTCCGGGAGCCGCTCACCTGCGGGGCTGCGCGGCGCCGCCCGAGCCCGGCCGTGCGAGAGTCCGGCCGCGCGGCGACCGCGGGCGCTGTGAGCAGCGCGGGCAGCGGGGGCGCTGATTTACGACGCCCCGCCCCTCGGAGAGCCGCCGGGACACACAGCCGCGTACGTTCGGTGACCTCGCGCTGCTCCTTTTCCCTCGGCTTTAAGAACTTGGCTTTCATCTCCCAAATTAGCACTGCAGAACTAGAATTAAGTTTCCCAAATCCACCCTGCTGACGGACCGTTCAGAATACATTGCTTACGTGCCATTCACCAATTCCTTACATCGACAGACTTCCCCCTCGTCCCACCGTGTTACAAGCAGTTATCTGGGCAACAGGTTTGGCCGAACAGAATGAAGACTCAAACGTCTGTAAGGGATCGGGCAGAGCAGCTGAAGGCAGCAAACTCACCGCCCTCTCTTTCCTCAAAACCAGAAATGCTGAGCTAGTTCCCTCTCCGCTACCAAGAACAGCACGGTCTGACTCTGCATCCAGACATCCATCCCACTCCCCCCTACATTTTTAACATCACCTCTGAGATACACGCTCAAGCCTTACATCTCCTTTCCCCAGATAATCCCATTTATTGCCCGTTTCAATCCAACCACAGCCTGTGCACATCTGGCATGCTACTGTTCACCACAGTCTTCCCTGCGACAAACAGTATTGCTTCCTGGCGCCCTAATAACGTGCCTGACACGGAAGCGAGGCTATCACACGGACTGCTTTGCCTTGCCATCTGTCACTGTGAGCCAGCCAGCAGGAAATACCCGTAGCTGTCAATACCTTTCATTTATGCAATTGGTTGAGCTCTTTACTTTAAAGCCAGAGGCCTTAATATAGACTGGTTGGGAATTCTTTCTTGGCATTCAGTGGCTGATTACAGTGATTCAGAATAGCTTCTGGAAACACAGGGCTCATAAGGAAAAACTGCTCCATAAATAGAAGACACATGTTCAATAATTTTGATAACACTTTCCCTCTTAAGCCAACATTTTGGAAACATCTTCACAGCCAACATATTGGCATTCACATTTCAAAAGCAAATATTTACCTGCCTAACTAAGCATCTTATTTTGACATTAAACACCTGGCTCCCATCGGCTGTACAATTCCTCTCTTTTGGGAAATCCCTTGCATGCATCTTCTTTTCACTCTGAAGTCTAATCCTTTCACTCTCTTCCCCCATCCTTACAAGGACTAGCTTTAACAAGCTTCCAAAGTATCTGCTTCAAGGGCTGACCACACAATATTACTGAAGTTGTGGTCCCTAAACTGTCTAAATAACTAAGATCATTAAGAGGCAGGTGATTAATCTCCTACGACCTGCATATTATCAAAGCAGTCATCAAAAATAAAAGGAAGTTTTGATATTCTCAGTCCAAACAAGTTAATCTGTATCCAGTAGTGACAACAGCAGGATTGAACTGCTGAACACAGTGGTGACTCCCCATAGGTGACATCTCTGGATATTTGGTAGAACTGGGATATCTGTTATTTGTTGTCATGCAGTGACCAGAGTACTGCATCTTGCAATCTGAACTACTCAAAATTATCTTACAGAAAAGTGAGATTTAAACAGAAGGAACAATTCAAGACAGAAGGAGCACAGTACCTTCCTTTGAAGTATAGCTGGCTCTTAATGAATGTATAGCTCATCATGACAAGATTATTTAGCCCTCGTGTGTTGTACATATTGGGAGAGGAAATTTCTCGGAAAAAAATCTGGAGGATTTTCACAGATATGAACAGAGTAAATCTCAAATTAGATGGTTAGTCTAATATAACAGAGGGGAAAAAAAGGGAAAAAAAAAGAAAGCAAATGTAGCGAGAGCTCCAATATACTGCAGGGAAAGAAGAAGATAAAATAAAAGATCAGAAAATTATTAAACTTATCCAACACACTGATGTAAAGGAAGCTCAGCAGCACTTCTGACTGGTGCTCCCCTGCTCATGGCAAACTCACTTTGGTTCCTCTAAGGAAGGCATAAGCAGGAGGAGAACACGACTGATGTATTGCCATACACCTTTTCCAGTAGCAATTTCCATATCAATTAAGTTCAGGTAAAAAGTAAAAGACAACTGTTTCCCAAAGGGTTAATTCTCTCTTGCAGGAGATGACCCATCACTGGCAGCATGCTGATGAATGCAAACTTCCACACATACCCATCTCTCCACAGATTACAGGATGTTCTAACATTATACAGACACTGAAGAAAACCTTGAAGTTACGATCTGACAGCACTCTGCAGTGGTAACTTCTGACATTGCCAGCTGTGCAAAAATCAGGTGAGTGAGGGCCTGAGAATAGATGAAGAGATGTATCATAAATGTTTCAGAAACTGTCAGTTTCCAGAACGTCATGACACAAAGAATAATCCTTGGAGATTTTCCATAGGACAATTCAGCATGATCTTTCTTCAAAATAAAACTGGAGAAGGGAGAGGAAGAGCAGGGCAAAGTAAATTAATCAGAACAATAAGACCACAACCCCATCCTGGACAACAAAATGTCTTGCTATGGCCTGTTCAAGAAAACCAAAATTTGGGCAGAAAACAGAAAAGATGAGGATCGGGATGACACTTTTAGTATTGTGAGCCATGTACTTTCTGTATGACCTATGCTTTCATTTTTGTAACACGTCACAGTGGTAAATATTTTCACAGGAAGGACCTTGCCTCTCCACATGTTCCACAGTTCAGTGAAAAATGTCTAAAATCACATGAACAATTCAGATGAGTTACCATGTAAGATGGTCTCCATTTACAACACTAAAAACTCCAGGAAATTTTCAGGCACTGCCATTACGTAGGAAGTAATGTCATGGTTCGTTGTCATGTTTTATGAATAAGACTTAGAAAAGAAGTAGCAATTTCCTTAGTAACATGACTGAGTGCTCAGTAATGGGACTGGTAGCTGGGCAGCCCTGCATAAACTGTGATTACTCTTGCATGAGTCATTACATCCTTTTCCTAAGAGTTGACTTTGCCTTCAAATCAAACTGAAAATTGGTCTTCTCCTTTACATACAACACTTTACACAACACGTCCTTGTACATATTTTAAAAAAGATTTATCTGCAACCTATAAGAATGAAGAATTCACAGGACCACCTATACTAGCTGCATTACTTTACTGTGGGTTACAGTAAGCTACTGAGAGTTAATCTGAATCACACTAGATTAGAGTCCTTGTTGCCATTTTTGATGCTTTCACACTGTATTAAATTTACTTCAGAAATGCGTTTATTGAGATGTTGTCAGCCCTCTGAAAGCACTAGTGCCCTCAAACAACTACAGCAGTTGTCTGCCAAGCCTTTCTATCAGTATTCTGACCTGCCATAGCCCTTACTCATCTGCTTATCTACACAGTATCATGTTGTCTGCTCATCACCTTGCTGCAAAACTTCTAGTGGTGAATCACTGTACTTCATGATATCAGATGGGGGAGGCTAAGAAAACAGTGCTGTGCAGAGCATTGCTGGGCACACATCACGCACACAGCTGTGGCCATGTACGGCCACCATCGACTTCTGCTTTCGGAAGGAATACATACAGCTGTGTATTTTCACCTAATGCAAAGACATTGATACGAACATAAACAAGCAGAGGACAATAACTGACACCTAAGACAGTCCCAAGAACTGTGCTGCTCTAGGTTGCTTACCTTAACCGTGCTAGGAGTTGAGTGCTTGCTGGTTCATTTACAGAATGTGCTTGGCTCGCAATTAGAAAAAGAGATGGTGCAATGAAACAAGGGGATTCACTGGAACTTTTCAGTTTAATCTTAAACATCAGAATTACGGTCCTAAAATAACTGGGAAGAAATCTATCTACTTTAAGAGTGCTGCTGTTCAGCTGTAAAGACAGAACCCAGATTAACTATACAAGATGACTACAGCGGATGCATAGATTGCTCATATAGCAGTTCTCATAGATTTTTTAATGAATAAAAGCTAAAGCAAGTTTCTCCTCTAGGCTTCTCTTAGAAGAGAAACAATCCAAACAAGCAAAATATTATATGCCCTCAACTCCCACAGATGCCACATGGAAAAAAACAATGTTCAGCATAACTGTTGGCTAAGAAATCAAGTTGATTTGATGGTGAATTTTAAATTTTGAAAACTGAACTACTACAACAGTGCTTTCTAAGGTTTGCCCTGGTTGCCAAATGAAATGGCCAATTTTAGACATCATCTCCGCAGACCTCCTTGAGAAAGTTACCAACATCCAATTTTGCTGTATGGTCTGTCTTAGGCCTGAAGACACGAGGTCTTCCCAAATCTTCAGAGAGCTATCAGTTATGAGTTAGAATCAAGAAGCGTTGCAATCCTTAGCCTCAAAACACTTTGCAAACTATCAGCCCCATAACTGATCATCCTAGAAATAATGCTGCAGTAAAAGCAGAAGAGTTTGAGGAGTTACAAAAATCTAAGCTCATTCAGTGACAAACTCAAGCACGAGCATGCTCTGGTTTGTTGCAGTTTCAGGCTACAGCACATTTAATTTTTGCTAACCTAGAAGAACGCCAACTGGGTTCATGTAATGCCTGATGTCTGATCCTCATTCACTACTGGATAAAAACTTCAGCTCTGACACATCAGTATTTTCCAGTAGGAACTGGTTTACTGTTAGACACCTCTAATCTACAGCTCGAGAAAGTGAGTCTTAAGTCTGAAAGAAGTTGAAATTTTGGGAAAGATTTTCACTGTGGCTATCAGAAGTTTTTGTAGCTGCCCGCTGGTGAATTCTATGTGCCATGAGTCAGCTAATATCAGCCACTCCTAGAAGAAAAAAAAAAAAAGTAAAACACAGCCCTTGTCAGAGAAAAGAAAAATCGAAAGATTATGAACTTTAACAGCTACCAATTAGTAAATCCATTCTACACTACAAAACTAAATTATTGCACATATTTTATGACAGTAACATGTTCACCAGCACCACCTCCAACCTTCAATTTGGTCTTGAAAATTACATCAAACAATTTGTGTTGGTATAGATTAGACAGACCAGTTTCAGAAGTCTGAA